CCCTATGAAAGCAAAATTTAAAAAATGGTCAATGGTTTGTGTCCGTTTAGCTTCCTGATTACACGCAAGGAGAAAAATTAGCTCATTGGGATGTGAATTCCTCATTTTCGAGTCTGGTAACCTGCATTTGACGATGAACACTTTGATGATCAGTTATGTTCACCAGTTAAGTTGTATGCTGGCGCCCATGGGGCAAATCTTGTTCGAAACTATTTGTTTCCTATCTGACTCACAGTGGTTACATGGCACACACCGCAATGCTTATGTGAAGTCGTTCTGAGATGGAAAAACGGTGCTGATGTTATCATAATTTGATCACGAACAACAACAACAGCCGATGCGAAGCATGGTTCTAGGCCATCTATAATCCTACGTCATTATCCAAGCAAAGCAAACCGACGATTTCCGCTGATATTCGAAAGTTAAAAACGCATTGTGCATACCAAGGGAACATTCTTCGTAACGGACTGGGCAAATGTTAAACGCAGCACGTACCATTAGCCTAAAATAGATACTCACAAGTCCCGTCCTCGCATTTCATGCGCTAGATTCTCCTATTGTACATTTTACTTTTTCCTCCCTAAATTACCCGTCAGGTTTGTTTATTTGTCTCCTTTTCAAACCGTTGCTAGTTAAATAACCGTTCAGATCCTCTTTCCGACATCTCATAGGTTCACTGGCTTAACAACTTTCTACCTGCTTTACTTACGCAGATTTAATCAAGGAAGATCTCTTGCGTATGTTCTACTGCTTTCTGTGCTATCCAGTGTTTATACGCAACTCTGACTGCGTTAGTTCGGTTCTTCCCGGTAGCTGTGGTAGCTAGTGCACCTCGATTTTTCCATACTTTATGCGTTTTGCGGTAAAAGCCATTCAGCTGTGACGTCAAGCATTTACATACTAATCCTTTACGCTGACGTAAGGGGGGATATAAGACGAAAATTACAATGAAATAGTTATGCAAATTCTTAGTCCCCGAATTGTCCAATAACGATGCTTAAACATTTTGCTGAGCCGATATTTTGCGTTCTAGACCGTAGATTACGGCTGCACTGCAGATAATGCATATACTGGAGAGATATCCCTTATCAACGCAGCCCTACTTAACCGTGGCTCTCCTGCACGTTTCATCCAAAAGTATAGCAACCCTTTACAGCTAAAAATGACTGAACATTAAGTTCCAGAAAGCCTTTAAATGTGGTAATATTTCAACACAGTCAAGCGACGGTTATGTTGTACTATAGAAAGGAGGCACAACGCAGCGGAACGTGTCTTCATCAGTCCTAATGAAAGCCTTCCGGTAAAAGGGGCAAAGAGTGCCTTGCTGTTGCACTACGCCCCAAATTGTAATTATGGGTTCATAGGCACTTGAGGATGCGGATGCAAGTACAGTGGATGTACAAAAATGTAACTGGCATCCAGGGCCACTGAATACTTGCCTAATTGGCTTTCCAAGCAAGAAGAC